TGTGATAGCAACAACTTGGAATGTAACACTGAGAATAGCAAGCAGATCAAAACGTGCAGCGCGCTGCTCATGCACAAATGACGCACAAAAACAGCATACACAGGATGAGAGCAAACAGCGTTTACCGCTCGACACTTAACACGCTTTTTGAAGAAAAATGAGGCTTGAAACGTAATTGCAAGTACAGATATGAGTGCGAACAAGTCCCCCAGCTGTTACTTTGCTGTGTTTGAAAAGTGCACTCTTTTTGCAAACGGCTCCTGTCCTGCAAGCAAAATGATCATTGTGCGCCCGACAACTAAATACGATTATTCCGGTCAAGGTCAAAGACGCGCGATTCTCCCCACCGAAACAAAAGTGCGCGTGCACAAGCATCTACCCCCCCATTCGCGCGTCAAAGTACGTGTGGAAGATAAGCGCGCGCCAGCGCGTGGTGAAGAGCGGAGCGCCGAGTGGGGCGTGGGTATTTTTTTCTCTTTTTCTTTCTTGAGTTTTCATATATTATACACGTATACAAATGCGGTGATTGACAGCGGCTGCAAAAAACCAGTCGAGACTGTACATATAGTTGCTATAAAAGAAAACCATAGCTGAACGTCGAGGGCTACATCATGCACGCGCAGTGAAACTATGCACGCACGCACATCGTCAAATGTGACGCCAACTATACTTGGGGGCAACTTTCTGTGGCAATGAAGTGAAAGCTACGGGGTCGGAGCTTACTGCACATGTATTCCTCCCCGAAGTAATCAGGCTACATTCACTTTCCAAATGCCCGTTGTGTTCAAATAATACCACTGCACAGAATTTGCTACATCCGCTCACACAGCTATTTGTGAGTGAAATTCCACACAAGCTCCTTCGGCGAATCGTCAGAATAGCTGGAGGGCGACGAGCACTCTCCTAAAGACGAAGGCACCATTGGGACTGTGAGGTGCACCTAAAATATACGACGTTTCCAGATATGCAATAATGGGAAATGACACTTCATGAAACAAAACAATAATAATATCTTCTTGGTTCGTGCAGCGTCTCTTTATAAACGGCATCCCTTAGAAAATGAAGTAATGTTGTTTTTTATTATCTTCGTGCGGATAACACCGACGCATTTGTGGGATTGTATTCCTCAGCAGTGGCACACACCTCTTTGGTTTCATGGCCGTCCCTTTATTGCCACAGAAAGTTGTCCTCGACTATAAAAGCGTGGCACTGCCAACGCGCAAAAGTAGTTTTCTTTTTTCTTTAATTTTGGTTTGGAGTGGAGGGGGGCACACTCGCACACGCTCCCACGGCGGTGAGAACGGGGGCAACGCTGGTTCGTGGCGTGCAGGCCTGCCTGCCCACCTCGCCCTTACCCACGGGCAACAACGAGTGCTCGCTCTCACCTGGTCTGCTGTGAGCGCCACCGCCACTTGCTTCATCGACAGCGGGACAGTCAGGGAAGATGCAGGCTCATACCGAAATGTCAAAATGCGGAGCGAAATTTCTAGATTGCCTGTGGGAAAAATTCGTTACATCAAAGTTGTCTCCCGCTCTTACTTTGTTACATAGAGGTCGCGAATACATGTGCTTCTATGGAGCAAAGCGGGTAACTGAAAAACTTTGCTATATTGAGGAAGTCATTATATGGAGGTTCGTTATAACCAGGCGTAACTGTACTTCATTGCAATAATTCGGTGTAGCATCACGCACAGAATGTAAGATATAGTAGTTCACAAGAAACAGGCGCACTCGCAACCAAGCTTTATTTTTGCATTCATTGCACATAAAAAGCCGAGAAACCATGCAATACTGATAGCACTGGCACATTGTCTAACAAGATAAAAGCAAATTAAACTGCATACAGCTCCAATCGTCGAAGATGGCGGGAAGGTGACGAAGACAGCTGTTTTTTGCGAGTCTGGGCGCACTCTTGTCCTGGTGATCAAGTGACTCAAAAATAGGAGCTGTCTGTATGCAAGCAGCATTTCTCTGGCTTTAGGGTGAGTCCAGAGCTCCTAATTGCTTGAAGTTAAGTTTCAAGGCGTTGCAGGTGTTCGTCAAAGCTCGAGGGAAACACAACGACGTCATCCAAATAAATGAGGCAGGTCTGCCACTTCAAGCCAGTCAGGACTGTATTCATGACTCGTTGGAAAGTTTCAGGTGCCGAGCAAAAACCAATGGGCACGATCTTGAACCCAAACAGGCCGTCCGGTGTTATGAAGGCAGTCTTTTCTCTGTCTCTCTTGTTGGCTTCGATTTGCCAATAGCTGGTCTTGAGGTCCATCGCAGAAAAATACCTCGCATTGTGAAGTCAATCTAGGGAGTCGTCTATCCATTGTAGCGGGTACACATCCTTCTTCTTCATGGACACCACCGATGACGCCCATGGACTCTTTGAAGGCTGAACGATGTCGTTGTGTAGAACTTCGTTGAGCTGTTTCTTTATGTCCTCGCGTTCTGGCGTCGACACTCAGTACAGGCTTTGACGTAGGTCTTTCACGATTCAATGTTTCACGACCGAGGTCTGTCGAGTTCTGGACGATGACAAAAAGCAGTACTTGTAGTTCAGCAGCAGGTTTTGAGCTGTTTTTGTTCATGCGTCAGAAGGCTCAGATTAAGGTCAAAAGCTGGTTGAAGCTCTTGATTCGTCGGAGTGCATTTCGCAGAATCGATGCCTTGAAGCGTCTGGCTTCCAGTATTTCTTCGATGTAAGCAACCATAGTACCTTTGCTCACAAGCTTATACTCGTTGCTGAAGTTCGCGAACATCACTCTTATATTACCTCCCCGCAGCTTGGCTATTCCTCTGAAGATGCAAACTTTGCAATTGATCAATAGGTGCTGGTTGCCTTCAACGACGACTTGCATGACAGCCGATTCTTGAGTGCCAATGGAAGTGCTGACGCTGGAGCGAGGAGGAGCGGTGACTCGATCTTTGAGCATATTCAAGGCGTGTCTCCCTGACGGCGGGTGCGGTGGCCATGCTTTTTTTGTTGATAGCGTTATCGTCCAGACCTTAGGTCGACGACGGCGCCGTTACTTAAGAAGCCCATCCCAAGTATCACATCCCTTGAGCAGTGCTGTAGAATTAGAAAAATGGTGAGATAAGTACACTTATTTATGGTGATCTTTGCTGTGCAAACACCAGCCGGCGTTATTAGATGACTCCCAGTGGTCCGAATTTTAGGGCCTTGCCATGCAGTCTTCACGTTCTTGAACTTTGTCGTGAAAGGCCCACTGACAACGGAATAGTTGGCTGCAGTGTCGATGAGAGCAGTGATGTAGCCATCAAACATTACGTCAAGGTCGCTAGTTCGTCGTCGTGCGTTTCGGTTTGGTTGTGGCGTCTGGTCATGGCTAAGTCGGTTTGCTCCACTGCTGCCACGCAAAGTCATCAAGTCTCCTTTTGGCCGGGAAGTTTTACTTCAGGGCTCTCTCTGGCTTGCAGCGTGTTAACATTTCGTCGCATCATCGTCGGTGACGGAAGGTCTTTGCTGGTTTATCGTACAGCAACTGCACATCGTTTATTCATTTTTGTTTATCAGTATCTCAAGGGTCCCGAGAGACATTAAATGAGGAGTGGGCAAAAAACATAACGGATGAAAAAAAAGCAAAGCAGCACTAACAGTTACAAAAATAGAAAAACAGCTGTAGTTCATAAAAAGATAACTATGGCTTTTTATGGCGTTTTTAAATGGATGAAACTGAGATGACCTGGTGATGTGGGCGAAAAGATCATTCCAGTATTTCGTTGTCTGAAGGAAAATGATTTCTGGAAGGTCGTTGTTTTTGGGCATACGGGATATACTGCATTGGGGTGAGAATGTCGCGATGTACGATGTGCAGGTCTGATGAATGCATTGCCTGGTGGCAAGGAATGAAAAAAAAAAGTTATGATACAAGCACAAGCGTGAAATTTTATGGCGAGAAGCAAAATGAACAAGAATAAGCTGAGATTTGACTGCTGACACACTTATGTTATTTGAGTAGTTTGAGATAATGAATCTGGAAGCATGGTTCTGGATGGATTCAAACATAGTGGAAAGGTTAGCTTGACGAGGATAAAAAATGGCATTAGCATGCTCCAGTTTAGGCCTGACGAGTGTTTTTAAGCTATTAGTTTGGTAGCAGCAGGTGCCGAAGCAAGTTTGTAACAAAGATATCCAAGAACTTGATTACTCTAGTTGGTGATGCTAATGACGTGTAAAGTTCATGTTAGATCAGATGAGATACGAACACCTAGATATTTGGTAGTGTTAGTAGCGACTACGGGGTAGTTGTGTAGAGTGTAAGTGATAGCGATGTAATTTTTACATCTAAGAAAAGTCATTAGGAAAGTTTTAATATTTATAGACATTAATCAATCCTTACACTATTGCTGTTTAGTGTTAAAATCTGACTATAAAACAGAAGAATGCGAGACATTATTTACAGGATGATACAACATGCAATCATCGGCAAATAGTCTAATAGCAGAGGTGATGTTACGTGGCAGGTCGTTAATGTAAATATAAAGAGGAGGGGACCTAGTTCAGTACCCTGTGAAATGCCTAAGTGATTGGGAGAAAGAATAGATTTGCAAGAGTTAGCGACAACAAACTGCTGGCGATGGGTTAGAAATTCGTGAATCCAGTTCAGCACAGAGGCGTCTAAGTTCAAGCATGAAATCTAAAGCAGTAAGTGATGATGAGAAACCTTATCAAATGCTTTTTTTGCAATCAAGAAATATAGCGCCAATGGGGATATTATTATCAAGGTGAGAATGAATTTCATGCAAGGGCTAGTTGGGTTTCACATGTAGGAAGATGGGTGGCATTTGGTTTTCCACATTTTCATTATTTTATCCCTTCTCTGGCATAGACGTCCTCAGATGCTGTCGTTCTTGCTGGCGTATTCTTTTCTCATCTGGCTCGAACACGTGCAGCTGTGGCACAACTACTTCATCTTCTCCGAGACGCTGACGGCCTGCCATAGGGCACCCCCTCTAGCGAGGTAGCCAGTGCGCGAAGGAGCGACCCATTAGCAGGTTGTAGGTTCTGCTGTTGCGAAGTGCGTTCGTCTAGTTTTTGCGGGTGGCTTGTAGTCTTCGAGGACAGCGTCATTGTCAAGGAAAGCTGGCTTTATGCGGTCAATGGAGACACTGCCTTTGCGTCCATTAAGCATCAGAAGGAAATGCTTCGGGCAACGCTTGAGGCTCTTAAAGGTTCTGTCGTAAAAAGGTTGCAGTGGTGGCCTGATTGCATCATGTCGTACGAAGATGTGGGTGCAGTCACGCAGTGCGCGACTGACGAAACTTGGGCGTGAGTGTTGAGGCGCAGGAATAGAAGTCACATCTCTCGTGGGATTCCTGAGTTGACTGGCATAGTCAGCTACGTCCAATGGTGATACCGGTGACGTGTCGAAAAACTGTCCAAGAAGCCTTAAGGAAGTGCCAAATATGAGCTCAGCTGAGAAGCAGGATGCATCCGTACATATCATGGTGCGCAGGGCGAGGAGGACGAGTGGTAGTCGCTCTGTCCAGGGTATCAATGATAGGGGCGCCATGCGTTGGCGGTGAAATCGCTTAGCCATGCCATTCGACATCGTGTGGTATGCCGTCGTCTTGATGTTGTTGACTCCAAGGGACAAGGTGCGGAAGAGTGGGGAGTCAAATTAACGACCTCGAACCATTGTGATAGCCTTGGCAACTTCGTAGCGGCCTATCCACGCTGTGATGAGTCCCCGGGCGACTGACTCTGCCTTGACGTTGGTGAGGGGTAGTGCCTCAGGCCACTGCGTGAAGCGGTCTACGCAGGTTAGTATATACCAGCTGTTTTGCGATGGGGGCAAAGGGCCTACGAGGTCCAGGTGCATGTGACTGAACCGCGAGCCAGGAGGTGTGAAAGTACCCAGTGAGCTGACCGTGTTGCGCTGGACTTTGGTTAGCTGGCACTTGAGGCAAACACGTGTCCAGCAGCGGACGTCAATGTCTCAGGCCGATGTCAAGTGTGACAAACCTCTGTCCATAGGTCTGTATGATCGAACTATTGGCCGCGGTGACAGGCGGCGAGGTCTGGCGTCGTCAGCGGTTCTCCATTGTAGAAGGAACACCACTCACTTCGGCAACTGTGTCGATGAGGTAGCGGACTTTGGTGACGCTGTCGGAGACGTGGAATAGGCGGTCATATGTCGGCCTAAAACACTGGCCGCTGTCAGCGCGCAGGCCATGCGTTTCCCGCAAACAGGCATGCCTGTTTGCACTGACAAGCTCGAGCTCCGTATCAGTGGTGGTACCAGGAGATGCTGAGAGGCAGATTTTGCGATATTTCACGGCTTTGACGCTGTTGTCGTGACACGTTGCAACGGTGGTCTCGCTCAGTTCAGTGGCCAACTGATCCACCTTGCGATTGAGCTCTTCGTTAGCTTGAAGAAGGTGGTCCAAGCGGTCGTCGTGCGGGGCTCCGATATCCTTAATTTTTCGGCCATCCACGCTAGGGTGTTGAGGGTTTCTGTAGATGATTACTCAAAATCATCTGCACCTGCTGTGGTAGTCGTTGTAAAAAGAGTTTGCATAGGATGGAAGCATCCAATGCAGCAGAGTGGTCCCCAATCAGGTGTCGCATGTGACGGAGAAGCTTCGTAGGCATTCGGTAACCGAGATTTTGCGAGGTGAGTAGCTAGTGCAGCCTAGACTGTTTCGACTCAGTTGTCCGGCGTATGAGCTCGTATTTGAGGGTGTTGTAGGGATTGTCAGGAGATGAAAACGCAGAAAGTATCTTATGATGGGGATGAACAGGTGGTAAAGCGCCGATGACAAAGTCGTACCTTGCTGTTTGCAACATTACCCAGTGTCGTCGGAAGAGTAGCTCGACGCTCAGAAACCAGAATTCAGAGTCCGTCTGCCAAAACTTCGGGAGCCTGAGAGTAGTGATGACATGGTCAGGTACCGTGGGATTCGACATAGCGTTGCTGTTGTGGTGTCTATGGTCAGCAGAAATGAACGGGGCTGAAGGCCATAACCGTAGTCACCAGAGAATCTGCGGAGACGAGAAGTACAGGAGAAGAGCTGCCGAAGAGAGCAGCGGCCGTGGCGTCCAGCCTGCTAGAAGCAGAGTTGGCCGTGACGGTCGGTGCATTGACGAAAGGACGAGTCGTTGATGAACAGAGGCGCGTTGCCGCTCTAAGTCCGGGTCACCACTTGTAGGAAGACATATGGCATTTGCTTTTCCACATTTTTTTATTTTATCACTGCTCTGGCATGGACGTACACAGATGCTGTTGTTCTGGCTGATGTCTTCTTCTCTCGCCTGGCTCGAACCTGCGAAGCAGCTGCGGCACAACTTCTTCTTCTTCTCCGAGGCGCTGACTGCTTGCCATACACAAGAATGATTGGGACAAAAACCATGCTGATTGGGATGAAAAAATTATGAGTGGACAAAAACATGCTACTTCAGAATACACTATATGCTCCATTCTTTCGCAACAGACAGCGGGGATGGATATAGGACAATAATTGTTTGAAAACCAATGATTACCTTTCTTGAAGATGGAAACAATCTTCCCGATTCCCCAGTCCTCTGGAACTGAACATGAATCTAGTGATTGTTGAAATATTAACGATAATATGACACTGGTTACATGTTTGGGTTTTTGAGCACTTTGGTATTGATTTCGCGTAGGGCAAAAATGAAAGAAAGAGTGGTTTCATGGTGAAAACTGAACAGAAAGTATTGTTTAGTACAATAGCGACATCCTCGTTGGTAATGGGACAATCATCTGAATCGATTAGCAAAATACCTTCAGTTTCTTTGGGTTTAATAGTTTTCCAGAACCGTTTAGGATTGTTGTGTAGCAAAGAAGGTAGCGTGGTAATGTAAAAGTGACCTTTGACCTGCGTGATTGAAACTAGATAATCGTTAGCTGCAGCAAAGTACCTCGCCCAAGCCGTGTCAGAATTAGAACACTTAGCAGATCTGAATAATCTTTCTTCTTATTGTTGAGTTTCTTTAGTTTACCAATAAATCACAGGGATTGTGCTCGCTCTTCAACAATAATGGTGAGGATATATTTTTCGGTGCCCCGCCGCGATGGTCTAGTGGATAAGGTACCCGGCTGCTGACCCACAGGTTGCGGAAACGAATCCCGGCTGCAGCGGTTGCATTTCTTATGGAGGCGGAAACGCTGTAGGCCCATGTGTTTAGATTTGGTCGCATGTGAAAGAACCCCAGGTGGTCGAAATTTTGGAACCCTCCACTACGGCGTCTCCCATGATCATATGGTGGTTTGAGACGTTAAATCCCACTATCAAATCATCATTTATATTTTGCGGTTAGATGTAATGTCTCATTTTTAAACATTGACCAGTTAGTTTTAATGAAGTGTGATTGATGGTGATTTTCAAATTCATCACAAAAGACAGCTAGTTCATCAGTCATAGAAGCGTAGTCAATCTTGTCATACAACATCAAAGTTTTTATAGTTTTCTTGGTTTTATTATATAACAGGACAAGGTACCATGAATAGTACAGTGATCACTCAGTGGTGGAAGATAAGTTAATGGAACAGTTGTCAGCATGTGTTGTAAAAAGTAGGTTGAGAATGTTTGAAAAATGAGTTGAAATGCATGTTGGCTGAGTGAATAGTGAGATGGACCGAATGTAAGACATGTGTTCAGGAAATCACTTTCAATGCTATTTCTTGATAGCTTGACTGCTTGGTTAGTCTAGTCGGTGAAAAGAAAGTTGAAATCACCGATAATAACGATGGTGGAGTTAGGATAGGCTTTCTTTATGATTTGCAAGCATACATGGAAGCTTTCATTGAATGAGCTGACACTAATAGGTGGTCAATAACAGACACCAATAAGCATACGTGGCAATCTAACATTACAGCATATTCATAAGAATTCTAGGTTAGATGATACCTTTACTAACGTGCAAAGCAAAGATAGGTTAGTAGAAAAAAGAACGCTACCACCACGCGAGCCATCGGGTCTATCTTTACGAAACATATCAAAATTAAGAAATGCTAGTAACAACTCAGAATCTAAGATAGACAAATTAAGCCACGTTTCCATTAATTAGACTACATTGCTTGAAGATAAGAAAATGAGGCCACAAAGCGAGTTGCGCATGGATACCAAGCTACAGATACTTGCGTATAGGAATGACAGGGGTGTTTGGCGGATTAATTACGAGTGCATCCTGGTGCTAAGATATATACTCAACGACCTTTTGTACAGCGTGGTGATAAATATAGCTTTTGTTATTGCACTAAACGGCGCCTTATTGGAGCAAGTCTAGTTTACGAGCCTTATCAAACTGCTCTAGTTGTTTGTGGGCTAAGTGCATTTGTGGCAGAAAGTCCTCACTGACACCATAGACATATTCTTTAAATGTTTTTACTTTGAAAAAGGATGCTTTGTTTTACTTTAAAATTGCCAAACTTGAGCTATATGGGTTGATTTCTGCCATTCTTGTAGGAGCCCAGTCTGTGCTTATGCTCAATAGAGCTAGAATGAATAGTTAGACCGAGGGATGTCTTGTAAAGATCAATGATTAGTTATTCGCTTTCTTGCCAAGGTTCTTTTTGCGTATCACTAACACAAAAAAAAAAACGAGATTATTATGACGGGACATGTTTTCTGCTTTATTCATCCGAGCAGACAGCGAAGAAACTTGGCCTGCGCAATCAGCAGTAGTTACTTGAAGTTTTTTCATGTCAACTTGACAAGTCTTGAATGAGAAGCACCCAATTCAGTTTTTAAGCCTTGTTTTGAATTCATTTAAAGATTTCTCGTGATTCAAGAGTGTTAGATGGATTGATTTCAATCCCTCAAGTATCGCCTTCTGCCCTGATTGCAGCTCTTACATTGTGCTGAGAAGTCCACAGGATGAAGAATCAGAGAGGACCAGAATTAGTTTCGATATTTCCGGCTAGTAGTAACAATCTGAGCAATATACAACTACAGTCATAAAACACTTTCCGCATGCATCGTGGGCTGGGCAGCACAACAAGCGTACGACAACTTGTTTTTTTTGGCAAATAAACAATGGCACTTAGTTACCTGCATAGCAATGACGAGCCAGTTAGGTCGAGCCATAGCTGTCGTGCTGCCAAGCCCATTACAACATGACCCTCGAGGCTGGCTCCTTTTGTAGTGGTATTGTGGCAACATTGATGACGTCACAGTCTTGGTGTGATGGCGCTGCAAGGCCCAATGCGATATCAGAAGAGGGTGGGTCAGCATTGTTCGATGCATCTGACGGTGTGCTTACACCCGCAAGTGCAAGGCGCAGTAGTCTTGGTGGTGT